CTGTGAAGGGCTTGTCACTTTATGTCTAAATCACAGCCTGGAGGGGTCACTCGACAAAAAATTTCTAATCAAAAAAATCTCACAATCCTACTTTCCTTTTTGCAATGCTAGACCATTAACTCCCTCTGGATCCACTGTGGATCCTGAGATACTTTTTTTGAGGAACTGGAGTGAAAGGGACTTTTTTTTAAATATATATATATACACACACACATTCAATGAGCGCTGGCATGAGTTTTAAATAACAATATACATTTTATTCCAAGAAAAGACACCAATTCCCTTGTTTTCAAGGTTAAAATATAAATCTGATGTATATTAGATGGGACTGCAGCCTAAAAATATACCATTATATACACATAATATAATCTTGTTTACAAAGTGTAAAAGTTCCTGGAAAAACTGCAATCCACATTTTTATCTGGACAATCCTATTCAATGAAGACGAAGTTTTATAATTTTTTATTCGCGTAATACTTTTTCTAACTCTGTTCTATTGCAAACACTTCAGACGGTGGAAGGGATGGCATTTGTGGTTCAACGCTTGTGTGTTTCAAATTAACTTTAGTATACATTATCTTCCATGCTCGGTCCACTGGGCAGAAGATAAGCCCAAACTCTTGTTCATAAATGCCCACAAATGAATTAGCTTTATGAAGGGTTCCGCATGAGAAAATCCTGATCATGCCGTGCTCACTTTTCTGAGCCTGAATTCCACTTGACAGATTTGGAGAAAAAAGAAGTCCAGTCTGTCCGAAGACTTCTCGGAGAAGTGCGTAGCAGTTGGCTTGTCCTGAGGTATGCTTTTCCTCTCTTCCGCTGCCAATGAGATACATATCTACTGAGCTATTATTGCAGAACACTGACTCTCTGAACGTATCTCCTGGCTGATGAGAACACACTGGCTGCAGGCGGTTTATCATACTATAATACCATTCACAAAACACTCTAGCAAAATCATCAGATTTCACTTTCTTTGTAAGCTCAATCTGTGATAAAGTATCCTCGTTATTTAGTGTGGCTACTTGTCTATTTTTAACATCATTTTCTTGGCTGACGACCTCAAGACTGGCAAGAGCCTGATTCTGCTTGTTTACTACCTGCAGCTGGTTTGTTGGAACAGGATATTGTGGATTTCCCATTTCTGGTTTGTATTCAAGACTTTTGTGACCATTTGCCTGATCTGGAAATTTAGTATGGCTTCTTCTTTTAGTGGAGCCACTATTGAGACGTTTCATCTGAAATCCAGAAATGGTCCTTTTAACCCATTACCTTTTAATGTCATCTCTTATGAAATGTATTTACACATAGATGACTCCACAATTGCTCAGCCACCAAGGAGTCAATAAGTAGATCTCACCTGATTTACGGGGGTAAATCAGGTGAGATTTGAATACATTCCTTGAGTTTTCAGGAAAAATTATATTTTTTACTATACTGTTCTCATTATTATAGACTTTATAATTTGTATAATCTCATTAACATTGCTAATAGCAACATAAGATAAGAGATAATATTTCAGAAGATCAAAGATTAGATCAGATAGGTAGTACTACTGATTAACCCCTTGGTTTCTCAGCACTTCAGAAGCCATCTATGAGTAAACACAATTAATAAACTAAACTCAAAATGGGCAAGACACGTACATACATGCCATCCCCAATTAAATATTCATAAGTGAAAGATGAGAGGAGGGACTCCTGAAAAAAGTGAAATTAAAAAAGAAAAAGAAAATTATACAAACCCAAAACTGCTGCACTGCCACTGCCAGCTGTGTCCTGCTTGAGTGTGCATTTGCTGGTACATTATGATGATGCAGGTATACAAACAGAATTTGCGCTTTGATCCGTCTGTATGAAAAAAATTTGCCAAGGTCCTCTGTATGCATGAGGATAATTTCTATTGCTTCTGTAAAAGATGAAGTTAAAAATAATTATAACACTGCAAGAACCAGTTTGGAAAAAAAACATTCAATTTTGAGGATATAAAAAGAAAAATTATGTATTGAAAACACAATGTTGATTGTAATTGTCTATGATCTGATATTTTGATATTCAGAAAGAAATAAAGATGTAAATAAACAGCAATATAATAAAACACACATGAATGCACATGCAGACACACATACCTTTACAATTTGTTGGATGGATGCGGTTGTTGGTGGCAGTGAGTGCAAGGCCTCGCAAAACATCTGGTTCTAACCCTCCTAGGAGTTCTCGCACCAGAGGTTCATATGGAGATTTCAGCAACATTGTGGAGGTTAGGGGTTGTGTATGCCTGTTGGAAGTTTGATATATTAACTCACAGCCTACGGATGACGTGGGATTCACATCAAAGCTGATTTAATCGTGGCCCTTGGTAACATGTTATTCAATTCACAGCTGACTCGGACATGTCTCTGGGTCAGTCACCCCATGTTATAAAGATGTATGCACTACATTTTATGCTGTTCTTTATAAGGAATCCTCCAGCCTCTGCCAAATGCCCTGGGGCATTCCCCGAGGGAGAACGGGATGTGTAATGTTAAGATTAGCTATTTTGTATAAAAGACAAAATTTAGCACACAAATCATTCGCCTTCCATGCATGGGAGATGCCACGCACCAATATGATGCTCTGTTGCTGCTGATGTGAACCTGTAAGTAACCTTATATTGTAGTTTCCGTGATCAGTCTCCTCGTGTCAACTTCTCAAACTATTTTTAGACGCTCTGCCACTGTGACTGTCTTGAAATATGACACAAATAAGGGAAGAGCTGAAACCATAGGGACAGCAGCCTTGCATGTCACTCATACAATCTCATTTTGAAAAACAGGATTTGCAAAAATAAGAGATTCCTTTATTTTTTATCCTTCAGTGGTGGTGATGATGATGGTGATGGTGATGATAATGATTAGCAAAACAAAAATAATTATGATAATGATATTACTATTAATATTAATATTAATATAAATACGAATATAAATATCAACAACACTAATAATAATAATAATAATAATAATAATAATAATAATAATAATAATAATAATAATAATAATAATAATAATAATAATAATAATAATAATAATAATAATAATAATAATAATAACATATCATAATAATAATAATAATAATAATAAATAATAATAAATAATAAATAATAATAATAATAATAATAATAATAATAATAAATAATAATAATAATAATAATATAATAATGATAATAATAACAATAATAATGAATAACAATATATAACAAATAATAATAAATATAATAATAATAATAATAATAATAATAATAATAATAATAATAATAATAATAATAATAATAATAATAATAATAATAATAATAATAACAATAACAATAATGATAATAGTCATCATCATTATTATTATTATCTTATTATTGACATAAATAATAAATCAATATAATTAATAATCAATATACTAATAATTACTATTGTCATCAATATCATTACTATAATAATATCAATAATAAAAAGAATAAGAATATCTATAATAATAATGATAATAATAATAATATCATTATTATTATCATTAATTCAACAATGTTAATAATATTAATAACATTAATAATGATGATGATAAAATAATATTAATAACAATAATGATAATGATGATAATGATGATGATGATGATGATGATGATGATGATGATGATGATGATGATGATGATGATGATGATGATGATGATGATGATGATGATGATGATGATGATGATGAAATGATGATGATCAATAATAATAATAATAATAATAATAATAATAATAATATAATAATAATAATAATAATAATAATAATAATAATAATATAATAATAATAATAATAATAAAATAATAATAATAATAATAATAAAAATAATAAATATAATAATAATAATAAATAATATAATAATATAATAATAATAATATAATAATAATAATAATAAAATAAATAATAATAATAATAATAATAATAATAATAATAATAATAATAATAATAATAATAATAATAATCAACAACAATAATAATACAACAAAAATAATAACAACAACAACAACAACAATAATAATAACAATAATAACAATAATAATAATAATAACAATAATGATAATAATAATAATAATAATAACAACAACAATACTATTATTCAAATATTTAATATAATGATGATGCCAATGACAATGACATAATTACACTGACAGGTGATGATGACTAACGACAACCAAGCAAATACAAGAAATTATACAACTACATGCATATTATATATATATATACACATTACAAATTCCTAAGAGTTGGGAATTATTACCAATACTTATAGATCTTAAAAAGGTCCTGCACTTATATTCGTAAAAATAAAAAGAACTGTAAATACTATGAAATGGCTCTAAAACTATGAGTACCTTAGCAACATTGGTCCCTGGAAATAAAGAGGAGACTTTGAGATGCATAAAAAAAAATGCCGCTATATAATGGCAATTTCTCTCTATCAATCTATAATTCTTCTTGCACCTTATGTTATGGGCACTACTGGTAATTCTGGAGTGGCATTCCTAGGACTGCAGCGACTGTTATTTATATGTGTGCAAATTTATAACTAGGTGACAGTAAGAAAGAACTACATTTTTGACTGTAGTACATACCACAGACTCAACTCTTACAAGAAAATAAATCAGTCAACATACAATCTGGGTCTAAAAATAGTTTGACCATTTCTTATTTACCTTTTCAATGGCATTTTGCAAAAAAAATCACCTTGTTTACTGCATTATGTCTTCACAAGAAGTCATACATCTATAACACATATTTCTACAAAGCAAAATTCAGACTGATGTTCTAAGTACTTGTGACATTAAGAGCTACAGTTACAAATTAAAATCGTAATCAGATCCAACTAGACTAAGTTACTCAATTAAAAAGAGAAGAAAAAAGAGAGAAAAAAAAGTGGTAACAAACAAAATAGATATTTTACCAATACCACCATAACATCAAAGACTACTTTTAATATTTGACAAGAACAACATTCCTGGGATGATGGATAATGTGGTTTTACTCTAATTTTAGAGTCTGGTACAAGTTGTTCATCTTATTCATCTCACCCATCTTTGCAGCCAGGTGAGCAGGACGACTTGGTCCCAATAGCATTTGCATACAAACAATGATAGTTGTAGGCTATCATAAGATAGTTGGTATATCATATTACAAATGTTTATTACTGCTATTAATAGTTATTTATTAGTTTGTCAGTTGCAGATAAGTTACCTAAGCAGCACAGTAATAACAAAATATGTAGTGTGTAAAATTAATTACCTGATTTAATAAATTAGTGAATCTTGCATTGAGGGTAACTACAGCCTCAGACAGTTCTAAATACATCACCCTGATAGGTGAGAAAAGTTGTCTGGCCAAGCGAGACAGAGAGTTCGGTACACAGCATTAAAACCAATCGGATGAAAACTGTGCACAAAGAAAACCAACACACCATTCTACAAAGATTACACAACATTTCAGACAGACTTATCTAACAAGAAGAATCTCCAAACTTCCCTGAACTTTGTAAAACGCATTTGAAAATATTTGTGTAGAAAGGCATGAATGAGAAAGAATATCTTCAAAATACAAGAAATGTATCTGACCAATTTTGAACATACCTTCTTAAGAAATATATGAATTTCTGACAAATATTAGAACCCAGTCAAATGCATTTTCTTGTATGGTGAAAAAATTCATGCTCATTCATACCTTTCTACACTTGTCAACATGAATACAGTTCTTCTTTGAAGAGACCATCTTTCACCATCCACACGGTTACACTGAATCACACGAACCCCAAAATAGTCTAAAACACCAGAAATAATTCTTACGACCTTCATTTCATCACAATGTAAAACTGTCGTTCACTCAGTCTTCTCAACATTCTTTTTCAGGTATTCAAAGGAACGTGAACTAAATAGAGGCATACATATAATACTAGACTTAAACAGAACGGTACCGTACTTGACATAATAAACAAAATAGTGAATATTAATCCCAAAATAACAGACCTTACCTCTATAATGATGGCGACACTCCTTCAGTCTTCCTTCAGGCGACACCACAACCCAAAAAATCACATCAGAGACGTCGAAATGGACAATCACAAATTGCAGAGCAAAATGGAGACAAAATAGGTTGCCAAGTTTGTTTACATGTCACAACGGTCGCTTAAAGACGCATGCTCCGGATAGAGTGTATTCAAGTTCATGTTATGTTATGGATTCAGGTTTGAGTGGCTTGTCACAGTATCACGTTGCTGTGTTATGTTGGAGTAAGTTATGAAATAAACACGCACATGCATGCGCGCATCCATACACATACATGCGCGGTCACACACACGTGCGCAAATAAACATGCTTACTTACATAGATGCACACACACACACACACACACACACACACACAACACACACACACACACACACACACACACACACACACACACACACACACACACACACACGCACACACACACACAATCACAATCACAGGAGTACAAAAAATCATCAAAATTCATTCAAAACTGAAGCAAGAAATGGCCAAAAAATGGTTCAGTGACAAATGCAAGAATATGAAAGAAAACAAGCAGCTCCTTTGGAAAAGATTCAGAAGACATGGATCTCAGGCAGCGTATGTAGAATGCTTTCCTCTAATTACTGTGTTCATCTGTCTCTCATGAAGATAGTCTTTTATCCATGCGAGTAGTATGCCTTTCACTTCACCTACGTGCTTTAATTTCTACAGTAGTCTTCTATGAGACACCTTATCAAAAGCCTTTTTAAAGTCCAAGTAAAGTCCAGCCGTCTGTATCTTGTAACATTTCAGATTGTCATAAAAAACATAGATTTCTCACACATGACCTTCCTTTTCTAAAACCAAATTGTTTATTTGGTGTCAATTCGTGCTTTTTTCAAGTATTTCAACCCATTATTTCCTAATTATCCTTTCTAACAGCTTGTCAGGATAGTTAACGAAACTGGTCTATAATTTAGCGGGTTTTGTTTGTCAAATATAAGGGTGTAACAATGGCGAGTTTCCAACTTTGTGGTAGTTTAGTTCTCTCTCTCTCTCTCTCTCTCTCTCTCTCTCTCTCTCTCTCTCTCTCTCTCTCTCTCTCTCTCTTCTCTCTCTCTCTCTCTCTATCTCTCTCTCTCTCTCTCCTCTCTCTCCTCTCTCTTCGTCTCTCTCTCTTTTCTCTCTCCTCTCTCTCCTCTCTCTCTCTCTCTCTCCGCTCTTCTCTCTCTCTCTCTTCTCTCTCTTCTTCTCTCCCTCTCCTCTCCTCTCTCTCTCTCTCTCGTCTCTCTCTCTCTCCTCTCCACCCTCTCCTCTCCTCTTTCTTCTCTCTCTCTCCCTCCCTCCCATCTCCCTCCCATCTCCTTCCTCCCTCCTCTCTCCATCTCGCTCCTCCTCATCATCCTCTCTCTCTCTCCCTCTCGCCCCTCTCACCCTTCTCCTTCCCCTCCCACCTCCCCCCCTCCTCCCTCT